TGATGATGATGATGATGAAAACATTATATACTCTGCCCTTGATAAACAAACTGACATCACTCCAGCACCGTATGGTTCGAAGCTTGGCAATTCCGCCCTACTTCTGATTCGAGAAATGACCTCATCGTTAGCCAGTTCACTGAAATCTATACAAATGTCTAGGAAAATAAATTTATCTACTAGTGCTTGGCTGGTTTGCAAGCATGAGGTATGGTTTTAACTTACCCAGTCTTGTGGTTGCACTTCGCACTTTGCAAGTTTGAAAGATACACCAAACCGTGCGGCAGAATTATTTAGGTTACTTAGAATGACCTTCATATTTGGAGGATCTGAACCCGGGAGAGCAATATCAGTCTTTTTGAGATTTACCATCAAGTACGCTTTATCAGAGAGGATTGGTGAGGCTGATGCTCTTTTTCTATCGACTCCTAAAGTACCAAACCGGATGACTCTGTCGTCATTTTCGTCACTACGGAGCCGTCGGTTAGTATTATTGTTTCGGAGACAACCGGAAAGTTGCCCGTGAAGTTTTACCGTGTTCATGAGACCATCAAGCAGCACGGCATCCTGTAACAGTCAGTGAATTATCACCAAGCCAGTTGTCCATTACGCTGTCCACTAAAACGTCTGCAGTTTCTCAGACAATGAACAACACTGCCTGTGTTTACCTCCTGTTTGCTAGCTAATCTTTGTCACTGGTGGTACGCGCTTTTTAACTTCATCCTACTAAAATTGTCATAGGCATCAATCCTGTCAACGAGATGACCGATCCGTGACAACGTATATGTGTCGAATGAGTGAACCCCCTCAATTTTAGGCTGCAATCGATCAGCGCTTTTTCTACTGTTAGTTAGATGTAGCTAAAACGGGCTGGCGAAAGAAGCGCTGACGGCACTGAGCGGTCACTGGACTTCTTCTATACGTTTAAACTCTTCATCGGCAAGAGAATATCGCTGAATAATGAAGAATGACCAACCTGTGTTGCGATCGGTCTGCGTACAGAAAATAAGGTTTTTGTTTGCGAGGAAATTTTCACTTTTTTGTGAAGTTTGGAAATATGCCTGAAGAGTATATTGGCACATAGCAGAGCGCTTGAATAGAAAGATTGGATTTTGTAGTAGGTAGGTAGTATCCTGTTTACCTTGAAAAGCCTGTGGTTCTCACTATGGCCTTGGTTTTTTGATATGCCCGCTTTCGATTTGTTGTGACCTACCGATGGAGGAGTACAGTATTCTGAATCTCCTATTTTTGCGAAGGTCTGGAGTTCAATTACATTTACGAAGACGCGGATCGCAGCATTCGAATAGGAATATGGGGCCACCGCAGTAATAAACGAAGAATAGGAGTGGTTGCAGGATTGTCCTCCGTTGGGGTAGAATCAGGTATGCAGACTTAATGAGGGTGTTCCTTTTCTCCACAGAATTTGCATAGCTCCGGGCGCCGGATATTTGGACGGGCAGCTATGCTATATCTACAAGAAAAGCAGTTAAAAAGCGAACTTCAACGGGTATATTGGACTCCGGCACAGCCGTCAGGGCACTGCACGGAAGTGCACGTTTTTGTGTGGCGGGCTACTGCCAATCGAACGCAAGGGATCCGGTGGTGTTCTGTGCTGTCTGGAAATCGAGTGTATTTCGTTTCAGCATTATCTATGGAGTTTTCGAAGTCTGAATGCCCGTTATGAAAGCATTTGGTTAGGCGTTGTTTCGACATTGTTCCATCGTACTGACTTGGATATCGCAACCCTTAGCTAGAGAGATCAGTGTCCAAACTAACTGGTCTAGGGTTTGTCCAACCTCTTACTTACGGGCGGGGAGGTGGTGAGCGACTATCTTGTCTAACTGCGCATATAAGTTTTCGACCTTGATGGCCACTTAGTAAACGGAGCAGTCAACGCTTATCTCAACTACCATGGGATAGATAAAACTATAGAGTCTGCAGTTTGCGAGTGTTGGGTGTTTGAATATAGTCGGGATTGGTGGTGTGTACAACACATGTAATTCTATTGTCCGGTTGAACCGAGTGCATTGGGATCAGCGTCATATCGTCCGGGTTGAAGCGTTCAGTCGTGGTCGATTATAGAGTTGTATATATTGTAGCAAGTAGAAATTGATCAAGTCGAAAATGAATGAGATATCTTCGATGGTTGCAACATAGGCTTTATTCAACCTTCCACCTGCTGACTGGCAATGTACACCTGGTAGTGCAAAGGTTAGAGTTGCATACTCGGACGAAACTTGTGGAGCTCTGGATTGTCACCCGTACTGGAAATTCCAAGTTACTCCATGACTATGTCCAACTCACTTTGTGGTGGTTTGATATATTCTTAATCTTTCTTTTTCGAAGTGGAAGTCTCTGTAAATCGAGCTGGTGACGTTAGCTTCTTACTTTTCGTTTACAGTGCTTGCGTCCAGATTCCCTGAAAAAAGAAACAGTTTGTTTTGTTTGAGCTCTGTTTTATCCAAATCGCTTTTACCCCGCTTGCTTTTTATACCTTTCCAGCAATCGTTGCAACCATAAGACATTTTCCTTCTGTGCCGATCTCAAAAACGTCTCCCGAAACCATGCCCCACAACATCCACGCAGATGTTGAATGCTTGAACTCACTAAACACATCCTACCCCCAACTAGCGGGTACCTGGACTTTCATGATCGCTAACTTGATTTTAAGCGGTGTCCGCTGACGAGCAAGCTCTAGCGTACCAGTTTCTCGAATGGAAGGTGGTTAAGTTGGATCCTTCTACAGTCTCTGGCCATGTATGGTCAGCACTGAAGGTATATTATGCTCCGCTTAAAATAATATCCGAAAACAGGAGTATAACGAGATGTTATCAAGCCGAACATATCTGACATCCAATCGAATAAGGAACATTGATATTTTATTAGGGAGAGCGGTTTTCCCGTTTATTGTGAGTCCTCACGCTTTATATAATGATCATGTTCATTGAATCAGGAAAAGCTGAACTCACAAGAAAAGGAACAAGTTGCTAATCTTCTGCGTTGGTACACACTAATCGCGAGCAACAGCTCCTCCAACTTGCCGACGATTCCTTTCCAGCGGTTACCGATGTACTGATTTTTTCAATAAAAGTCCTCGGCAGCTACTGTGTTTTGTTAATTTTTCGCACTAGACATCCTCATGTTCACCTGCCTCCTTCGTGACTACCTATCTCTGGTGGCTGAGAGAGAAGATTTGGGTTTCATTAATATTTTAGACTTGCTTCTAGCATAGCTCCACTCTTGTTCCATATGTCAGCGGACGTTTGGCATTTTTCTGGTGGCTTAATAAGCCATCGATAACGATCACATACGACCGAGCTCGAGGTGGCTAGGCTTGGACTTACTAACCAGAAGGTCCGTGGTTCGAATCCGTCCTGGCATCTCGACAGTTCTCATCTAAGCTTGGGCAACGTGGCAGCATCTCAGTCATCGTCCTTTTGGGTTGTGTCATCAATGAACCGAAGGGGGTCACAAATGGACTGTTATGTATTATTTCAAGTCACGATGTATTTGGCGATCCACTGACAATCAGGAGCTGGAAATCTAAACCCTTCTACCGGAGCCTGACCGACGTTTTGAAGTGCAGTATTAACCCATGCATATTTTCAATATACCTCAATTATTTATTGTCATCAGTTTGTCATTTCTGAACTGTTACTTCTCGGTTGAAAGTCCTTGTAAATAGACTAACCCCCACCGCTGAGGTCTTACTGACGTCCACATATTTTGATCAGAGCTGCTTCAATGGTACAGAATCTCACGCTTGGAGCGTGACATTCTTCTTCTGCCCTACTGCACCCAAGTTTGAATATTCTCTCCGTGCGTTCCAGCACTAGGAATGACCGCTTTGTTCGTTGTTCATCACACTCAGCTGCAGCTTGTGTACGTCCGACTTCAGTGGCAACCCTAAACACTTCGAAGTCTTTCTTCAAACCCCGAAGGCCTGTCTACTTTGCTGCCTTCAATGTTCACACGCTGAAGCAAGCAAGATGACAGGTAGCTCTTGCTCGTGCGCTGGTTTCCCTATGTATTGACGTATGTGGCAACCCACTTCGAAGTCTTTCTTCAAACCCCGAAGGCCTGTCTACTTTGCTGCCTTCAATGTTCACACGCTGAAGCAAGCAAGATGACAGGTAGCTCTTGCTCGTGCGCTGGTTTCCCTATGTATTGACGTATGCCTTCCATCATAAACAAGAATGCAGACTACAATTACTGTAATTGAGTTACTTGTCCCCCCACTCCTCCAGGTTCCGTTTGCGCATTCTGGTGATGTAGAGACCACTGCAGTTGGATATGAGTGATCGAACCGAAGCGTCTCCACTAGATTGGATACCCGTTGATAGTCACTTCTACGTAGTTCGTTTGGCAACGTCTGTGAAAGGCTCTCGAAGAAGTGAGGTCCGTCGCAACCTGTTTATTGTGTCCACTAACGCCCAAGTGCACTGTAGCTCTGAATCTGCCAAGACAGTTTCTATGTCGCTCTAGGCGCTCTTTTAAAACGGTCTAAAAGCTCAGACATCGTTGTGGTTGGTGGTGGCATGAAGGCCTAGGAAGGTAGACTAAGCGCTGCTGCGGCCCCTTTGGATTGTCGTCTTGGGTTGGATACGGGACCTACGGACAACGAAAGTCGTCTACTTCAGATATGTGCTGATCGCAGAGAGTTCCTTCCCAGTACTAGTTTCCAAAACAGTAGAAATCGCTTGACGACGTGGTGCTCACCAACGAACCAGTCCCCAATCCAAACAAACCACATCGCCGTCAGTTAGCGTTGACGAGGGTTGATCACCGCCTTCCGCTCCTTCCGGAACACCAGCGCGGACGCTGACCAATCACTTATGCGCTGCTGCTTTAGATTGCGCTTTTCAGGTCTACACAAAGCGTGCGAGATGGTCCAAGTGGTTAGAATTTACTGACCGGAAGGTCCGTGGTTCGAACCCGACCTCTTGCCTTCAAATTCCCCTGTCTAGGCTTGTGCAACCTGGCAATATCCCAGCCCTCGTGCTTCCTTCTGGTGACATGGTAATTAGGTACCGAAAGGGTGTTGCAGCTGAACGAAAACGTGCACACGCGTAGCCTTCGAAAAACCAGTGGACCCAGATGTTAAACGAAACTTACAGAACCGAATCTTCGAATGCCTGCCGGACCGTTGTGTGCCGGATAATAATGGTTACTGGGAACAGATATCCACACTGCTGCCCAGAACGAGGACTTCCGTTTGCGATACAACCGAGCCAACCCTAACCAAACATTGGATCTCTGATGGAACCCTTGGTTTGCTGTAGATCCGGTGACATTCCTGCTGACTATAACCACAACTCAACCCGGAGCATCATCCAACTCTAGATAAAACTGAGTGTCGGTTCAAACCGCGTAGCATGGCGGACCCGAAAGACCGAAGAAATGAAATAGGCAAAAAAATACTGTAAACAATCGCAGATTCTTTCACATGACTCGTTTGACTGCTCTTCGGAAGCCGCTTGTCGGCGAAATTATTATAGACTGTGAACATGGACCTCTTCTCAACCTTAGAAGTGTCCGAGTGAGCATCTCTACTCAAGCGTCGTCGTTCTGCTGGTCCTGACGACCTTGCACCTCCTGTGTCCAAGGATGGTGATGGGTTTCTCGACTTATGCTTGTCTAGCCTATTTGGATCTCACGCGAATTCTTGACGCGTGAGAGTTAAGCGGGATTTTGACCGGGTAGATGCTGCATCGACCATATCTTCAAGCTCCGCCAGGTGTTAATGCAACGCCATATATACAGACGACCTACAATCCTGATATTCCTTGACGTCAAGGGTGCCTTCGATTCTGTCGGTCGGCCAGTGCTGTTAACTACACTTGCTCAACAGGGAATGCTCCCTGAAGTTTGTAAACATGATCCGGTCCCTATATTCACACACTTCTGGGCGTGTGAAAGCGCATGGTGAGCTCTCCAAAAGCTCCCATACGAAAAGCGTTGTCCAACAGGGATGTCCCACTTCCTACGCTCTTGTTCTACTTCGTCGTTGACGAACTAATGAGGCGGACGCTGGAAGGTCTTCAAAATCCCGGTGTTCAAATTGTTGCTCATGACAGCCTTGTAGATATGGAGTACGAGGTGGTATTCCCTTCATCTTTGAAGACGAAGACGTAGCTGAAGCATGCTCTGGCCACCACCACGCCATATTTCGAAGTGCACTTTCAAAGTGCGAATCCATGCCTAAGAAAATGCAGTCTATGAACATACGCTTCACAATTCAAGTGAAATCACCGGAGGTTGCAAGAACTTTACGTATGTCGGCAGTTATATTAGCTCAGACTAAAGTGCTTCTGATAATGTCACTGCACGAATCTCAACGGCCCGAATCACGTTTGCTAATTTGTGCCCCCTTGTGGCGTCAAAAACGCATACCGCTGAGTTTTAAGGGTAGCGCATACCAGGTGATTGCGAGACATGGCCTTTGCAGACAGATGTTAAACGTTTTCAGGTTTTTGACCACCGATGTCTCAAAAGCGTTGCTGGTGTCGGATGGCCTGAACAAGTTTGCCACGGGTCAACTAGATAAAGTGGGACGAGATGGCGCAGTGGTCAGAGCGCGAATCCACTGACCGAAAAGTCCGTGGTCCTAACCCGACCTCTGCATCACGACTTCCCCTAACTAGACCTGGGCAACCCGGCAGTATCCCAGCTCTCGTGCTTCCTTCGAGTTGCATGGCAGCTAGGCACTGAAAGGATGCTGCAGCTGAGCGATTTTTCGAGCTAGAAGACGGGTATTCGGCGGTACTTAAACCAGGGAAACATCAAGCACCATCAGTTTTCAGGTTTTGACCACCGATGTCTCAAAAGCGTTGCTGGTGTCGGATGGCCTGAACAAGTTTGCCACGGGTCAACTAGATAAAGTGGGACGAGATGGCGCAGTGGTCAGAGCGCGAATCCACTGACCGAAAAGTCCGTGGTCCTAACCCGACCTCTGCATCACGACTTCCCCTAACTAGACCTGGGCAACCCGGCAGTATCCCAGCTCTCGTGCTTCCTTCGAGTTGCATGGCAGCTAGGCACTGAAAGGATGCTGCAGCTGAGCGATTTTTCGAGCTAGAAGACGGGTATTCGGCGGTACTTAAACCAGGGAAACATCAAGCACCATCAGCAACGGTGACTCCGTCATGTGCTACGCATGCCGAAACAGCGCCTACTAAGACGAGTTTTGGTCTTTGTGCCTCCGTCAGAATGACGGAAACCGGGAGAGGGACAACGTATGACTTGGCATTAGGGCGTGAACGAGATTACGAAGAGTAGATGTTGTGGTGATGTACGCCATCCAGGATGTGGTTTCTTTGATCTCTCCTATGCTTGGCTGGAAAGATTGCAAGAAGTGGTGGCTAATCGATGTCAGTGGCACTCCTGTTGTCACTTTTTTCTGTATTGTGTGACTGAATGTTTAGAGGTGTAGGGCACCCAAGAATACTGGATATTGGCCAGCACCAGGTCCCGTCCTTCACCCGCTCTTTCTTATTTTCATTCTAAGGCTTCAACTATAATTAAACGGACTTAATCGTTGTACGGCAGTGAGGCATCAGTGTCAACACTGATTTTGCTCCCTGGTGATAATGATGAAGGGTGATACAATTGTACGGGGATTCTCGACCCTCCAGCATAGACTGGCTTCACTGGCAGGAGGAAATTTCTATTGATAACTTTTCCAGTGTCGGTATCGTGTGTTATTCAAGATGTCAAGTTTGTTGACCATTTTGGCTTCCATGATCCTGTACGTTACCTTGGCTCCCTTCAGATTTTACTCCATAAGGGTTGGATAATACATATTTCAAGAGGCATTCTACAGTCCATGGTCAACTTAACCAACTTTTCGGAACTCTCATTACCTATTTCCGTTGTGAACATCTAAGAGCCAGTGTTGGCGGCCAGCATCGTCTTTCTATCCTTTCAGTTGTAACATTGCTTCGTGGATCCCGCAGGTGCACCGTCTGATGTGATGCAATTAATGTGAGTGCAGGGGGGGGGCAGGTTTTGGATGAGCAACCTATATTTTGGCTGATGTGTTTTTTAGCAGTCCAAGATTAGCTTTGGATTGTCGTTTAAGGACACATTTATTGGTGTGTCGTTCTAGCAGTAGAATGTTACATTCTGGATCAAGTATGGCTTTCATGGGAGTCGGCGCGGAGCAGAATTTAGGCCAGTCAGCTGGGGGTAAAATTTTTTCAGCTACTTGCATTTCCTCAAATTTTTCTTTCATTCGCTTAAGTACTACACGTCGACAACTGAACGGCATTTGTCACACCTTTCGCAATGTATCTGGTCAAGCGATCTTTAAACATATGGTCTTTCCATAATTCACTGTTCTCGCGGTATTCATTTGTAGGCTACTTCCCCATTCGATCCCGTGGGGAAGGTAATTTTGGGACCTATGGTGAGGATTTCCACACATCCCATGCGTCTATTGGCGCTCAGGTATGGCGCTGATTATGTTTTCACTGAGGTATGTACATTATATTTCGGTTTATTTGTCTGTTTCCTACACGAGGGAAGAGAAAGAGTCATTTTGTGAATGTTTTTCCATGTCAGGGGGGTGGGAAAGCTTTCATTGCATTTTTTTTTTGAAATCCGTCACGATCTGCGTTACCCGGGTTGCCTTAGATCCCGTACATCTTTGCTATTTCTTGACACCGTGAGAGTTCGTTAGTCGGATTACTGGAAAGCTTTGTACAGCAGGTGCGGAGCGTTTCACCCTGTCTTCATGGCATGCATTCCTCATTCCAAGTGGTTCGCATATCTTTTGTTAGCCACTTCTAGTCTGACATCGTTTTGGCTACCGCTATTGCTCTTTGTATTCCATCTAGGGTCATCCTGTTGTTACGTCTAATGCTTTGCGAACTGTCTATTCGTGCCCTGTAGGAAATAATAGACCAGAAACTGTTGCGTTCTGTCAGAGTTGTGAATGGTAAGTGACCTTATATTGATAATGAATTCACTTCAGATGAGTTGGGCACAATTGATTACGTGTTGCCAGATGGGATGATCACATTTCGAACTTCCTTGGCGGAGAGGAACCGGGTGATTTTACAGTTGGTTGGTTCGACGTGCGTTTGGTAACAGAAACCAACACATGTAAATTTAGGGTACTCCAGACGCGGAACGTGCTTTACGGGCTGCCAAAATGGTGTACGTCAAATTACTTGTCTATTATCTTTTGTATAACGTTCTTTTTTCTAGACAGGACGATGTTCTTGCAATCGACATCAATATGGGTTGTCCCAAAGACTATTCAATCAAGGTACGTCATAGTGCGGTGAATAGATGTTCCCCAGTATAACTCATTTTGAAGTAGTAATAATAATATGCACCGAAGGGTGAACACCTCTTGTGATGTACTCCGTAGGCTGTTAGCCTACTGGGTGTGTAGGAGCGACCACTCGGATGCAGTGAATAGCATAGACGAACCATCATGAATTGTCAGCATCACTAAATGTCTTTATTCTAAGTCATCAGCACGGCGGGAAAATACAGCTGACGCGATGCCAATCAGCGTTTTAACACTTTCCGATCAGTTTCCCTACATAAAACATACACTTATGGTTCCGCAGCATAGTGATAACAATCAAGTAGGCACGTAGAAACGCGACCCCGTCCGAGATCACTTTCAAGGTAAACACGTTGGACGTAAATATCTTTTGCACCCATAAAATATGATATTCACACACACTAATTTGGTTTTAACCGGAAACTCAACCGAGTTTTTATAGGCGACCAAGTTGTTACAGTTCGAGCATATCTTGATTGCCTCGGCGATCGGTATTCACTTTTCCAGAAACCCCTGTAGGAATGATGTATGTAATGTTTCATTCTATTTACATCTCATGTTTCTAGTAAATGGGTAGCGCGGGGCGATCCCAATATGCTTTTTATGAACCTTTCGCTTATACTGTTTTGCAGATTTTAATCAGTTTTTAATACTTCTGTGTTATTGTCCTTTTTCAGGGTGGTATGGGCGCCGCATTGCTAATTCAACCAGAGAAAGTGAAAGAGGTATGTTAGAAACAGCAGATGCTTTGCGGATTTAGTGACAGTGGTACCGCGAATTAGGCTTGTTCATTGTGAATCCCGGCGTTTTGATCCCCAATGTAGTGTACACCGTAACGGTTGAAAGTGATATATTCTGCCACCCTTTTTTTAAAAAAACTTTCCGACGTTTCAATCGTCATCATTCCTCTATTTTCTTCACGGAATTTAAGCTCAGCGCAACCAATATAGGTGTTTGGGCACTCGCCCACAGTCCAGCCAAATAGTCCTGTTCGTAGGAAAATTCCGAGGATGTTCAGCTTGAGAATCTGTTGTTTTATGGGAGCGCTGACCCCTTTTCTAGCTAATATTGACAGTGTTTTCACAGAAGGACTGAAGTACATATCCCGTGACTTTCCGACTTGGTACATGTTGCGAGAGTCGAGTAGTTCCACCTCTCTGTTGCCTATATGGGTGAGTGCGCTGTTGTCGGATAAGAATGTCCAAGTGATTTCCTGGATTTGCACTAGAATGGGATGGTGAGGCGAGGCTAATAGGCAAGAGTTCAGTTTCTGAGCAACCACGGTGGACTGTTGGTGTTGTGTGAGGCTCCCCTTGTTCGGTGATATGTATTGGTTCCTGTTCTGTGTCGGATGTCATATCGTTGCCTTTGGGAGCCAAGCGGCGCAAGGATACGGTTTCGTGTTTGCCATCTGGACGAACTATGTGGGCGTACTGTGGATTACAAGAGACGAGTTCCACTTCCTCTACCAGAGGGTCATATTTAGAGACTCGATCATTGCGTTTTAAAAGGATTGGCCCAGGGACAGTAAGCCAGGTAGGTAGGGAGGCACCGTTGGCTGATCGTCGTGTGAACGGCATAAAACGTTCGTGTGGGGTACAGTTGATACTAGTACATAACAGGGATCTGATACAGTGAAGAGCATCAAGGAGGACAGCCTCCCAATGTGTGACAGGCAAGCCGCGCGATTTTAGAGCCAGGCAGATGGTCTTCCAAAGGGTACCATTAAGTCGTTCAACCTGACCATTACATTGTGGATTATATGCAGCGGTGTGACTACTGGCAACGCCTTTATCGAACAAAAATTGTTTGAGTTCAGTTGATATGAATGCAGAACCGCGATCTGAGTGAATATAAGCAGGCATACCAAACAGTGAAAACAGTTGACTCAAACAACGAATTACAGTGGAAGAGGACGTATCGGCGCAGGGATAAGCAAAAGGGAATCGAGAATACTCGTCAACGATTGTTAAGAGGTACTTATTACGAGTGTTTGAGGGAAGTGGGCCTTTAAAGTCGATACTAAGGCGTTCGAACGGTTGTGTGGCTTTGATAAGCTGGCCACGAAAGGTGTCACAAAATTTTGGTTTGAGCTCGGAGCAAGTGGAACAGTTGGACACCACACGTCGGATATCGCTGACTGAAAAAGGAAGATTCTTAGAACGAACAAAATGTGCAAATCTCGTGACCCCGGGATGGCATAATATGTTGTGAAGCTCTTCAAGTTTTTCCGTCCCAGTAATGTTGGCACAAAGGTTACGAGATAGGGTATCAGCAACGCGGTTATCTGTTCCAGGTCTATAGACGACGTCGTAGTTGTACCCTGCCAACTCGATTTTCCACCGTTCAATCTTGTCGTTCTTTATTTTACTTTTCTGTTGGTTCCCATACATAAAGGCTACCGAACGTTGATCCGTAATCAATTTAAAATGTCTCCCGAGGAGATAGTGGCGCCATTTGCGGATCGCTTCAACTATAGCATATGCTTCTTTTTCAACAGCAGAATGATTTTTCTCGCTTGCAGTCAAGGTTCTGGAGAAAAAGGCGACCGGCCGGCTACCCTGGCTCAGGGATGCACCAATAGCGATGTCGGACGCATCAGTTTCAACAACGAGAGGAATATTGTAGTCGACAGTAACTACCATCGCATTTTCTAGTTCGTGTTTAAGGTTCTCAAATGCTGTTCGGGCATTCTCCGGGAGCGGAAATATTTTGTTTTTAACCAATGGATGAATTTTGTCAGAGAACGCCGGTATCCACTGTGAATAGTAGGCAAACAAACCAACGGCTCTTTGCTGCGATTTCCCGTTCTCTGGAAGTGGGAGTTCTCTTATGGGGCGCATGCGTTCTGGGTCAGGTCTTATAATACCTTTGGAGACCTTGTAACCTAAGAGAGTAATCTCTTCAGTTGCGAAGCTGCTTTTCGTATCGTTCAAAGTAATATTGTATGTTTTTGCGACATCGAGAAAATGCCTAAGATTACGGTCATGTTCATCTCTCGTTTTGCCGCATATAGTGACGTTATCGATATAAGCGAATGTGTCTTTTACCTGTTCGGCTTTGATTATATTGTTCAGCGTTCGCTGAAAACACGCGACCCCGTTTGTCACTCCAAAAGGAATGCGCCGAAACTGGTATAGGTTCCCCCCAGCTTCGAACGCTGTGAATGGCTTGTCTGACTCGATTATTGGAACCTGATGATATGCACTCTGGAGATCCAGTGTGCTGTAGACAGTGTAGCGTGCGATGGTTTCAATCATTTGGTCGAGCCTTGGTAAAGGATAAGCGTCAAGGTAGGTGAAGCGATTGATTGTCTGGCTGTAGTCTATCACCATGCGTCTCTTGTGATTTGCATTGCGGGTAACGAGCACTTGTGCTCTCCACGGAGAATTTGATGGTTCGATTATGCCATCGGTAAGCATTTGGTCTACTTCCGTTTGTATGAATTGTTCATCTTCCGGTGTATGACGACGAGATTTTGTGGCGATCGGTTTGTAATTTGGAGCAAGATTGGTGAATAAGGATGGAGATTCCAGTTTTGCGGATGTTACGCCACATACAGTTAGGGTACCCCGTTGACCACCGAATGGAATTTCGACTTTATCATGTAACCCCAGAAAGTCATGTCCGAGAAGGACGTCTGCACAAAGGTTCGGTAATACACAAAGTCTGAAACGTTCGTATATAGCATCCTTGTACTGAATGGACACAAGGCAATAACCTTTGGTGGAACATGAATGTATCGTCGACGCCATTGTTATCACAGAGTCGTACGGAAATAGCTCCCAGTTATGAGTTTGCAGGATTGATGAAGAAACGAAACTTCTGGAGCTGCCGGTATCAATGAGAGCTCGGACAACAACGCCGTTGACCAAAATATCTGTTGTAGTTTTGGATAGGCAATTGGGAGCAGCAGCACAAAATAGCGAGGAGATTGAGGAGTCTTGAGCTGAACCCGCGTGATATTTCGAGGCTTTGGACCTACAGACACGTTGAAAATGTCCAATTTTTCCACAACTCTTGCACACTGATTCTTTAGCGGGACACTTATAACGAGGGTGCTTGGGGTTGCCACAAAAGTAACATGTTTGTTGTGTAGCGGCCGAAACTGTTGTTTCGGAATTAACAATGGGTAAAGGAGTAGATACCGAACAAGTAACGGGTTGTCTGTATACGTATGATTGTGACTGTTTTTGTGCAAGTTCGAGAGCTCGCGCGGCTTCATGGGCTTTGTCAAGGTCCAATTCATGCCACGTTAGCAGTTTCTCCCGAATGGTATTCGACTGCAATCCGGTTATCAGAGCATCCCGAACTGCTTCGTTTGTATGTTCCACAGCAGATACTGCTTTGAATTCACAGTCTTTAGCAAGCGATTTCAGTTTTTGAACGAATTGGTCGACATCTTGACCAGGTTCTTGTTTGTATGTGGCTAAAAGATGGCGTGCATACACGATATTTTTCGGGCGGATGTAAAGTTTTTCCAGCAAGGTTATCGCAGAATCGTAGTCGCTGCATTCTGCAATGAAGTCATACACTGTATGGTCGATGTGACGAATGAGAGTTTCCAATTTATTTAGACCTTCGGGTTTGATTGAGTTAATGTAAGCTTTGAAAGTACGGAACCAATGAGTCCATCGTTTCATGCCATGTGATGAGTGAGGATCAGCATCAAAAACCGTAGGTCGGAGAATATGATCCATTTCGTTTTTATTAGACGATTAAATTGTTGCGAGAGTCGAGTAGTTCCAGGACGGGATTGGAAGGGAGACAGAATAGGAAGACGTAATGTACGCTTTAATCGTCTAATAACTGTAGTACATGAGCTGAAAATAGAGTGAGAATCACGAGTTAATGGGTTATGCAAAGGTATGGGTTATATAGTCATGACAGTACAGCTGTCAGGTATCTTTTCTTTTCGGCTGGTGTAGTGATGTCTAATCAAAACCTTGGCCGCAATACTGTTCCACTGCTCCCGCTCCACTAAAATGTTATGGCCTAAACCAACGCATAGTTGTTTTATGGTTACATATAGGCTTAAATTCTATCGCAGTGCCTCCAAACCATCTCTTCTTCCTTTCAATCCAGATTCTGACTCGGTTGACCTCTGCACTGCGTGTCCCTGTGACGTGCAAAATCCGTATCTTACCACAGGTGAGAATTTCCGTTTTAACTTTCTTCCTGGAAGCAAAAATTTAGAGTAGTTATTGAATGACCAATTGAATAGCCGATTGAATGCTGTTCGACAGCTGTCAAACCACTGGACGGTTGCGCGCAGCCTGTTTGCATGGAGCAGATATGGTACTTTGGGCGAGCCCCTGGCTTCGATGTAAACCTGAAGGAGTAAGATCGGCGGGCAAATGTGCAGAAGCCTGTCGTAAGCCATAAGTCAGCCAAATCATGATGGAATAACAATGGGCTCCAACACCAGTTACCTGCTCACCATCAATGTACCAACGTCATCCATTAATTTCTCTCTGTGTTTCAACGTATTGCCGCAGCGTGCTAGCAGCATAGAACCATAAAAGCACCTGACGGTATTCCATTGACCATGAGGCTAATGGTGATGCCATCCTTAGGATGACAACTCCGGGCAGTTAGTCAGCAGTCTACTTTAATCAGGTGGTCCGGTAAGTACGCTGGTGACACACAAAGCCGATCCTACTAAGTTGTTTGTGTCCGCGTGTTACGCCAGTCCACATGGTCGGGGTTGCATTTAGGAGATTTACCCCTTTCCAAATGGCACTCTTGTTTTCCAGCATTCCGATGCATTGTGTTTCAGAGCTTCTCACGCCTGTTTGAATAACCGTTCCGCCGTGTGCCAGGTCCTCCCTTGGTTTGTTACGCAAATTAAACTACCTACCTGGTGAATTTGAGTGTCAGACGAGCAATGTGATGAACTCGCACTTAGAATCGGTCATGAAAACCAAATCGCTTGGTTATTTGTTCCTCAATTGACGGCTTTTCAGATGGAATGTGAATTATCCTGAGCTACTTATAGCCTGTTGGTAGTGTGAGGAGATTTGGGACTGGCATTACCTACAAGACGAAATCTCCATTGCAAATTCCTAAATCTCCTCAACACTACCAAAAATATTTTATGAGCTTTGGTAGTAAGTTCACAGCAGGAACAGGATGAGTATGTCTTTCTGGTGGTTTCAGTCTCATTCGGATGGCATTGCTCTGTTATTCAACGACCATGCGTCTGCACAAACTACCGAATAACAGAAATGATCAGCGGTTTCGGCATGCGATTTCAAATTACAAGGTCTTCAGTACTTCGCACTCCGTGTGACCTGTTGGAAGGACCCTTTGGGTTTGTTTCTAGGTTGCCCAAGCAGTGACTGCATTGTGACAGGCGAATTCACTGCACGCATCAAGGCATGATTAACACTTGCCAACTCGCGTCATCTTTTGCGTCAGATAAGCAAATCACTGAGGTTATATATATATATATATATAGCGAATATACTGTAGGGCTGTGGAGCTTGTCTCCTCCGGTCTTAAGATTTCAGACTTATTCAGCTGTTTGCTCACCACAGTCTCCATGGCATAGTGGGCGCTAACTGGGTGCAATATGTACATGAAGCGGTCCGTAAGCGGGCACTAGATTATGGGTCGAATTTGCCGGAGCAGCAGATAGGATCTATCAAGTTAAGGTTTTTGGAGCTCCACATCCTCCTCCTTGCGTTTGGACGAAAACCTGACAAGACGCAGCTGGTCCCTCTAAAGAGCTTGCTGCCACTTCTTAGGCCTACATCCTGACCAACGCTTATCTGTCGTCGTGTGTTGGGTTTTTCTTGGATGGGGTTCACAATGGACGTTGGATCAGTCCTGCTGATGGCGTCTGGCTCTAACTTGACACTCGAATCTGCTTACCTCGACTGTTCTGTAAGACCTAGGCAACTCACTTTTGGACGTAAGGCTTTTTACAATAAGTTCCCACCCCTCCAACCTTTTTCACTCGTTACGTAGTCCTTCTTTCATAGTTGTCCGGCAATAGACTATCAGTGTCCATCACTTGTGTGTTGCTGCCGCTGCTGGTGGTGATTATGTGGCTTCATATGGACTAAGCCCCAGAAGTAGGCATCTCAAAGCCCTCCGTCAAGCGCTTTGCAAACAGACCCGTATTTCAGCTACCTTACAACATTACAACGTACTGAATCTTTGCACTGGGGTATCATTCTACAAAGCCAGGTTCATGAGTTTATCTTCTCCACCTGTTGTTCTCTACATAGCTGGAAAAAACGTTGGCATTGGTGAAGTTGATCGAATCCACGGGAGTGGCGGCACTCACTGTACACGGCCGTACCCCTAGTGAACGACCGCGGCATCGCAATCACGATGAGGTGATTGCTGCTGTAGCGTCGGCCGTTTCGATTCCCGTTATTGCAAAGTGAGTTCATTGTTGCATCGTCTCAGAGGGGCTTGGTAAACGACCGGTGGATTTATTGCTAGGCAACGTTTCTCTTTTGACACAAAAGCTTCATCAATCCAGGTGAGTAAGTAAGTAGGTTGGTTGGGTTTTAAGGCAGTCAGGGAACCAATCCGTGAGATTCCTCATGACTAGTGACGTGATCAGTGCTGGGTGTTCAGTCTGATGTTCCTGTTTGTTGATTATTGGGGATGACTAAGATTTACGATAGATTGATTAGAGGGGATTCGTCTTTATGATGAACCCGGATTTTTTTCGTCCTTGCTTCTTCAGTCTAGGACACCTTAATGGAAAATTCCTCTTGGGTTCGTTCACAGATATCGTTCACCTGTGTTCTCCAAGGTTTCTAGGACAATTGGTTTGGGGATGAGGGTGGGGTGGTTAATTGGATCTAACTCTACTTGGATCTTGTACTTTTAGACCCAGGCGATTTCGCTAATAACTGCACACCGCCTGGTGTCATCTCAGCTGATCTAGGACCGCTCTCCACACGTTCTACCCCCTCTATTCTATTCACACTGGGATGCTTGGCGATTTCCACCGCTTCGGTCACCAGTCGCTGTGGTGTGAATCTTAAACCCCGTATCAAGATGTTCACCTTTTCTAGAACATGTCTAGAACATGTCCTGCCATTGCTGAATCTTTGACTAACGCCTAGTATTCCTCTGCGTTTCTCGGTGGTCTGTTAATGGAACGCTTATGCTCACCGATTCTGGTGTGCAATTCCCTGGCTGTCTGACCTATATAAACCTTC